CAATTTGTTATTAAAGCTTTCTTGCTTTTCCTTAAAAAAATTTTTAAAAAAAAAAAAACTTTGGAAAGCTTTCTATGTTGGATTTCAAAGAGAAAAATAATGTTGTATGCAATGCTTTTGCATTGAGTGCATATTTTGGAATTATTTCTTAACATTTATCGCAACTCCATTGTGACATTCGAGGGTTTAGTAAAAGGGTTTAAAATAACCCGATACTTGCATATAATGAAATAATTCAAAATTAATTATATTCGTTCACATTTTTTTTCATATATAACTCCTTCGTAAAGTGAAGATAAACAAGTACGAAAATTAAATTCTTTACTCATCATCGTTATCCTAAAAAAAGATAAACGAAGTAAAAGAAAGAAATATTCCTGCTCTATAATATGGAGTAGGCACAGTTGATTTTTTCTATTTTCGGAAATCGTATAAACATGTGGGCGCTGTAGGCGTGTCCTTTGAAGAGTACAGATCACTTCTAAATTGCAACTCTGTAGGCGATATTTTCATTTTCGCTAACGGGAGATTGTTGTTTACCACAAACACTACACTGTAGGGTAGACAGACAGATGGACATACTTAGGTGCATTCCATGTTCAAAACTAGCCATGCAATTTATAGACTTCATGGGCTTGTTGAAGGTTGATTCTGCAAAGTAATTTTGATAAACCATAATATGGGGTAGGCGTGGTCAATTTTTTCCATTTTTGTACACAAATGCTGCTGCATCGCCCATAGAATGGGCGTTCAAATTATTGTGTATTTATTTCCTATAATTTAACGAGTAACGAGCAAAAAAATCAATTTTTAATTCCGGTTGAAAAGCAGAGGTGTTCCAAGTTGACGTGATGCTGTAGGTGTATTCTTCAGCCGATTTGGCTCATTTCCAATACCAACTTGCGTGCAAGAATTTCCAAATTTTCTGCCAAATTTGAAGTCGATAGGAGGCCAGGAATATGTTTACAACAGACATTACACACACGGACAGACGGACATGCTTAAGTTGTATTAGAAGAATCAAGAATATATATACCTTGTGGGGTGTCTGATGAATCCTTCTGGGCGTTGCAAACGTTTTGACGAAATAAATGTACCCGTCATTCTTCGGTGATGAGTATAAAAAGATTTAGTTATATCTGCGCACAGATTAAAGCTCTTTTGGGAGTTATCAGTTAACTTGGGTGGGTGTAAAGTTTAGTATTTCTTATCAAAGTTAATTCTATTTTCCTTTAGCGGATTATTTGTTCAGTTTTTCTATTTCTTTTTTTTTTTTTTTATATACTGTTGTGTAGGTAAAGTATTTATAATGTATAATTAAATAATAATTAAATTCAAATTAATTCAATATCAATCAACAATTTCATTTAAAAATAAATTAATTCAATAAAGGTAGGTAAAAATAAAAAAAAAAGAAAAGCAATTCCCACATAACGGAAATTGCATTAAGAAAAAAAGGCCATCTACCGTTTTCAATGCACCTCAACCTGGTTTCACCCATTGGGGCAGAAAGAAACAAAGGAAAACATTATAGTTGGCCACCGCTGACCATTAAATACCATACACCAATTAATATCCCACATTATTTCGGTCATTACACCAAACGGTGCTTAGTTTCCATGAAAGACTTCATATAGTGGGTGGTCCAAAACGTCGACTGCCGTAATTCAAGTTTAACTTAAAGAATTGCACCACCTAACCCATATTTAGAGTGGCAAAACACTATGATTGAACTATTTCTATCAAGCAATTTGCTAAACTACCATTTCCAATAGTGTCCGTCCCTCGCTCTAACCATGTCGATGTGCCAAATTTCATGAAAACATCCCAATAAAAATCGGCTATCGTATGGTCTAGTAATTAGGCCGTTAGTGGGAGAATCCAAGTTCGATTCCCGGTGAGGTAGATCAAACGCAAATTGTCCTTCGCTTTAAGTTAAGAGCATATCCAACCCAATCCCAGATGGTTCATATTACTTCAGTTGAAGCGGTTGACTGCATCCCCGATTCTTATGGTACGAATTACAGTAACAAAATCTGTCTGCAAATTCTACTTAGCTAAGTAAAATTGGCTTTCATCAATACGTAATTATCATCTCTCTCTCTCTCTCAGTGGTGGAGCACACTTCTGACAAAAGCGAATATACAATACTCTACCTGTTATCTTTTTAAGATATGTGCTATCAATAGGTTGTAGGCAAATATACGTACCAGACGGATGGACAAGCAGACAGTATAACTTTCTGAATCGATGGGTAAAATAAAAGTTGGGTCTACCTCAACTCTTTGTGGAAATTGTATACTATTCCACCACATGCAGTGTAGGATAAGATAATCAAAAATTTCATAAATAACTAGAACAAGTCATATTTTACGCTATATAAGCGCTGGAAAGAGATTGCACCGATCGTTTCATCAGGTGCGTGGAAACCTCATGATAGCCAGATATACATGATCGAAGCTCGTTTTGGAGTTTCGCCCTTCTTTTAGAATTTTTATCTACTTAAAACAATGGTTTTGCCATTGCCTACAAAGATAGATCTCTGGATATATACTATTCACTGCCATAGAATTGGATTCACTCTTAGCCCTACAGCGAACAAAATTTCGTTAAGCATTCATAAAAAATTATGCCAACACCGTTGATATTGGCTAGACCTTTCAACGAAGCTACATATGGCGGACAGAGTTTCATAAACCGCATAAAAAAATCGCATAAAAAAAAACCCGCACGAAAAATTCGTATAAAACAAGTTTATTGTATTTGTTAATTTTTTCTTTACTTTTACTTGTTTCCTTAGATACATTTTTATATCCACCACTGAGAGATAGGGGTATACACCCAAAATGAAACTTTAGAGACCCTATAAAGTACATATATATTCTTGATCACCGTGAAATTTTGAATTGGTTAAGCCATGTCTACACATCGGTGTTTCTATATGACTGTGTGCTGCTTGTTGTTGGCAATTATCGTATATCGGATATAGTTCAGTGAAATTTCCTAAGCGATTTCTGCAACACATTTTCGCTTACAGCATCCACTTTGCATTACCTTTTACCCCTTTCAAAATGGTAAAGCAAAATATGTCGAAAAGTAATTTTTTCAAGTTAATTATAAGTTACCCACACGAATACTAAGAATATTTTCAAAAAAAAGGTAAGCATAAATTTCAGCTCTTATTTAATATAGGAAATACAATTTCCCCACCCAAAAACACAGAGATGAATTATAACCTCAAATGTAATCAATTGTAAGCTGTTTCGATAAACTTACTTCTCCTATCTCTTGGACAGAATATGATTTGCATGCGGAAAACATAAGTGCATAAATTCCAGCTTTTTATTTAATGTAAAAAACTAAGTCTCCCCACCCAAAACAAACACAAAGATCGTTTATAACCTCAAATGTAATCAATTATGAGCTGTTTCGGTAAACTTACTCCTCCTATCTATTGGACAGAATATGATTTGCATGCGGAAAACATAACTACATAAATTTCAGCTTTTTATTTAATGTAAAAAACAAAGTCTCCCCACCCAAAAAAAACACAAAGATCGTTTATAACCTCAAATTTAATCAATTATGAGCTGTTTCGGTAAACTTACTTCTCCTATCCCTTGGACACAATATGATTTGCATGCAGAAGGCATATTGTATTGAGACTGTCTACACCAAGGGACTCGTCATAAAAACAGCAGCCAACAGTGTAATGTACTGTTGATAATAGCGAGGAGGGCACTGTCTGCCTCCCTCTACCAACATTTTTACGAAATTTGAAATCAATTTATTTTTGCGAGCAGGAAGCATTACAGAGGCGGACAGGCGGTCGGACGTTTTGCTCAAATCAAAATTTAAAACTGTTTAGGAGTATACACACATTTTACAGCGTATATGCAGTTTTTTTCCAGATGTTCTAATCGTTTTGACAGAATGGATATATTTCCATTCCCCGTTAGAGAATGAAATAATAGTTAGGGTTTTATAAAGAAAACTGTATTGGTGCGACATATCATTTTATTACGGCACGTTCGCACTTTTTTTTTTTGTAAATCCCCCCATCTATAGTTTATCACTAAGGTAAATCTCTCTTCGATATCCGCATGAGTAGTCGAGTAGGTAAGAATGGCGAATAGTAAGTTAGTGATCTCGACTTCAA